AAAAATAGTGCTGATGCAACAGCAGTTGGAAAATATATAAAGTATGACTTACTGCTTTAGACTAATTCAAAGCCAATCAAGAGGACTCTATAGAAGACAGCAGCTAAGACAAAGCTCTTGTGGTGCCCTGAAATAAAAGTCACTGCTGTGCAAATCAGTGAGTTGGTGGTCTTGGTGGTCTGCTTTGATACTGGCTGGTGTTGAGTCACGAAGCATGTCTGAAGAGCTCTGTTCTGCTGTCTGAGCTGAGAGCAGTGCCAATGAGGGTGAAGGTCAGAGTGGCTCCTCAGTTTTTGAGGACAGTTTTTGAGACTCAGTGTTTGAGGACCTACCTCATGCAGCCTGTGGATGCCTTGGAGGTCTTTCAAGAAGCAGAGGATCCCAGAGAACAAAAATAAGGCATTTCTTCAGGAAATGAAAGGTGAGATAGGGCATAAAGGAAGAGCTGACCAACCACACTTGAAGAAGCTCTTCAGGTACTAGAATAAGTTAACAACCATACATTTCTTGTCACTGCTACAGCTGCATGAAATTTATTTCTGGTTTTTTTCTGTGTACATTTTAACATACATACCCCAGAATGTCTGGTCTAGCCCCACTGAAGGAACTAGGAACACTTGTAAACTTTTTCCAAAAATTAGTTCATAGTGACAGTTCATCTTTCAGTTACATCAAATACATTTACTATAGTTTTCAAACCTGTAAAGTGTATTTTTCTTGTGATTTATACTGAACTTTTTGTTTGGCTCAAGTTTGACTCCCCCAGGTTGTCTTCTGGCCAACATCTGAAGCAGCATCCATCATGCAGCTCTTTTGCTAGACCTGACTCTTTCTCCTTCTGTTAGAGTAAAACCTCAGGACGCTGGTAGTTTGATGGTTTACCTAATCCTGTTGTGCTTGCCCATTCTAGAGTCAAGAGCAGGGCAACTTCTGGGGCTAAATTCACGGACTACCTTCTTAGTTTAAAACATCCAAAGGGGAATTTCTAGATTTTGACTACCCAATAATTCTACCCATGAGCTCCCAACTATCCTTCTGGAGCTAATGCCCCACAGTCAGTTTTTTTCACTATAAAAAAATGACTGATTATGCCCATGGATTCAGTGCCATGTCTGCGGGTTAGTTGCATTACTCTGGGTTGCCTTACTGACTCTCCTTATAAAGGTCTCAGTTAATTTCATGTGTACAGAAGAGACAGGCATTTCCAGCTAGCTGGAAACGTAGCTAGGTTATTCCTCTGTGGCTCTGGATTTCCTTGCCAGCATCTCAGACTGCTGGCAGGATCAGGGCCTCTGCTTCTGGGATGAGGGAGGAGACCTCTGCAAGGTGCTTCATCTGTCACTCAGGCTGGAAGTTCAGTAGTTTATTTTCTTCCCCTTTAATCTATATCCTATAAAAGGTCTAGAATTTAAGCACAACCTAGTTAAGAATCTTCACTTTCTTACTTCTGCCTTGGAGCTGCACTCTTGTCAGTATGAGCTGCTAAGATAATTTCTTTAAAACTGCAGAAATAGGAAGAGAACTTTGCAATCATCTCAGATCTATTTTGTCACATTAGCCTTGGGCTTAAACTTACATGTCAGGCCAACATCCCAATTGTAGTGGTTTGAACCTTGTTTTCCCCAGGGGCTAAGAGAAGTGGTAGACCCCAAGGGGTGGAAACCCCTGGAAGTTTTGAAGTTCTGCCCAATGGGCGCTCCTGCAGAAATGTAAACATACCACAACCAGACCGGAAAAGAAGAGTTGTAGTTTTGGTTGTTGTTGGAGAGGTGGCCATGTTGTAGAGCCACGAGGTAGGGGCTCTGAGCCCCTTGGGGCCTCTGGCCCCCTCCCAGCCCCTGGCTGGGGGCTGCAGGGACCTGGAACAGCATAAAGCTGGGCTAGGTGCCTGTAGTTATGCCGGGAGATGTTTTTCTCCATGGGCACAGAGCAGCAGCCGACGCTGACCAGAGAAACAGTGGCAGAGAGCCAGAGATAAGAACCTGAACTGAAGAAGCAGCAGAAGCAACATGCAGCACTGCAGAGGAGACTCCTGGAAGGAGAGTCGAGGAAAGGAGAGCCAGCAGCTGAGAGCTACAGAGTTCTTGGGGGTAAGACTGATACCAGATCCCCAAAACTCCTTTGAGACCTCCTGGAAGGAGGAAGATGATGGACTCTTACTTGAAAGAGCCTTGAAGTGCGACATGCACTGTAGAAAGGAGCTAGAGAGCTCCGAGAGGAATGCAGGGGGAGTTGACCTTGGCTCCCCCCCCTCGCACTGCTGCCACGGTGGCAGCCTGAGAGACAGGGCACAGAGGCCCTGCAAGAGATACCAGACCGTCACGAAGACCCCCCTGTGTCTTCGTGATATGACGTGGTGAAACGACCTTGTCTGGGGTTACGAAGACCACGGAAGACCCCTCGGTTGTGAGGCGATGGGGCCGAGAGAGAGGCTTGGATACCTCCCTCGTGGAGTGCTGGCAGAAATCCAGCTATCAGCTGCTGCATGCATGAGAAGAAGAAACCTGCTGCCTCAGAAGATGCTGCTGTTTAAGGACTGAAAGGGATCTGTCCTTCTTTCCCTCCTGGACTTTTATTTGGAGGGGAGAAGAGATCTGATCCATTGTAAATACATATGTCATGGTAGAGATAGTTTGTGATCATGTGTATAATGTGATGTTATATTTATTTGTACAGTCATTGTAATATATTCCCTTTTCCCCACTTTGGAGTCTGGTGTGTTTTGTCTGGAAAAACCCATCTCACATTAGGTTGAGATGTGGGAGGGGGAATGGAGCTAGGGAATTAGATGTTGGGGCTATCTCAAACCATGACATAAATGGTAGCAGAGGATGGTTGCGAACCATCGAGGGAGAGAGATAAGAGCCATGATGCTTGTGGTAACAGAAAGAGTTTTCCAGACAAAACACAGACTGTACCATTGTAGAGTAAGTAAGGCTATAGTAATGTAAGTTAAGTATTAAGAGTAGAGTTAAGTTTGTGATAATGCTATGTTGATATGTAGTAGAGAGATTTTGATTATATTTTAGTTTATTGAAGATTGAATGTTGATTAGAGTTTTTTTCCAGTTGTTGTGATATGTTGACATTTCGCAGGAGCGAGGGGTGGAGTGTTGTAGTGGTTTGAACCTTGTTCTCCCCAGAGGCTAAGAGAAGTGGTAGACCCCAAGGGGTGGAAACCCCTGGAAGTTTTGAAGTTCTGCCCAATGGACGCTCCTGCAGAAATGTAAACATATCACAACCAGACCGGAAAAGAAGAGTTGTAGTTTGGGTTGTTGTAGGAGAGGTGGCCATGTTGTAGAGCCACGAGGAAGGGGCTCTGAGCCCCTTGGGGCCTCTGGCCCCCTCCCAGCCCCTGGCTGGGGGCTGCAGGGACCTGGAACAGCATAAAGCTGGGCTAGGTGCCTGTAGTTATGCCGGGAGATGTTTTCTCCATGGGCACAGAGCAGCAGCCGACGCTGACCAGAGAAACAGTGGCAGAGAGCCAGAGATAAGACCTGAACTGAAGAAGCAGCAGAAACAACATGCAGCACCACAGAGAAGACTCCTGGAAGGAGAGCCGAGGAAAGGAGAGCCAGCAGCTGAGAGCTACAGAGTTCTTGGGGGTAAGACTGATACCAGATCCCCAAAACTCCTTTGAGACCTCCTGGAAGGAGGAAGATGATGGACTCTTACTTGAAAGAGCCTTGAAGTGCGACATGCACTGTAGAAAGGAGCTAGAGAGCTCCGAGAGGAATGCAGGGGGAGTTGACCTTGGCTTCCCCCCCCTTGCACTGCTGCCACGGTGGCAGCCTGAGAGACAGGGCACAGAGGCCCTGCAAGAGATACCAGACCGTCACGAAGACCCCCCTGTGTCTTCATGATATGACGTGGTGAAACGACCTTGTCTGGGGTTACGAAGACCACGGAAGACCCCTCGGTTGTGAGGCGATGGGGCCGAGAGAGGGGCTTGGATACCTCCCTCGTGGAGTGCTGGCAGAAAGCCAGCTATCAGCTGCTGCATGCATGAGAAGAAGAAACCTGCTGCCTCAGAAGATGCTGCTGTTTAAGGACTGAAAGGGATCTGTCCTTCTTTCCCTGCTGGACTTTTATTTGGAGGGGAGAAGAGATCTGATCATTGTAAATACTATATGTCATGGTAGAGATAGTTTGTGATCATGTGTATAATGTGATGTTATATTTATTTGTACAGTCATTGTAATATATTCCCTTTTCCCCACTTTGGAGTCTGGTGTGTTTTGTCTGGAAAAACCCATCTCACATTAGGTTGAGATGTGGGAGGGGGAATGGAGCTAGGGAATTAGATGTTGGGGCTATCTCAAACCATGACACCATCATAATACTTTGGAATCTCCACTGTATTTTGCTTCATATCTCTGTGTCAGAAATGCAGCTTGGGCTCCCAAGCAGGTGATTTTTTTCACAAATGCCCTGCTCTCAGTGTATCCTTAGTGTCAAATGCTTCTTGGACAAAGGTCCAAGAACCCATTTTACTCCTTATGCTCAACTCTAAACTTCTGTGTGGTCATGAGCAATGCAGAGGAACCATCCCACACACCTGTATTTGAAAGCCATTGCCAGGTTGCCAAGATTTTTTGATTGCTTAGTACCTGGAGTGTTTTGTGGTTTACAGGTCAGAGTTTCCAGTCAGAACATGAAATCCAAGATTTCCAGAAGAATCAGCTTTAAAAGTGGTTCTATGAGGCACTCAGAAATCTTCAGGTTTAGGCTTCAGATTATAGAAAGGTAACAGTGAAATGGTACTACTTTTTGCTCTGTCAAAGTCTAAATTTGATTTAGAGTACTACAAGACCACAAGTTGATACTTTCAGACCATAAAAGGTTCACATTTATGGAGGCAAAACATACTGAATAAAAGAATTATATAACTTTCATTATAGGTTAGAAGGAAAAAAATAAGTAGTAGTAAAAAAGATCCCTGAAAATGAAACCATATATAAGTGGTGTGTAAAAATACCAAGTACCACAGTATCCTACTTTTCATGTGCTTACTGTAGAGAAGCTGCAGTGATCAATGCCTTCCTCCTGGAAAAGGACAGCATCCTTAATGAAAATAGCAATAGCTTTCAAGATAAACGTGAAAAAGAGCTGCACATGGATATAATTCCTGGGACAGCGAAGCCTCCTGGAAGAAAAGAAGAGAGGTCTTTCTCAGCACAGCTGGCTTGTGCTGGGGGTAATTAAAATAAGCAATAAACCTTTGTTTCATCTTGTTTTCACTTCCAAACATATATAGGAAGAACACTTGCATCTGCTGAGGTCTTTCAGGCAGAGATGGAAACCTTCCTCGTGTGAAGCAATTCACCCACAGTCTGCACCTCCACCTCTTTCCTTGTTAGATGGAGGCCTGGGGATGTTTCTGGCCTGCCAAATTTAAAGAACCCAGAATTCCTTAAATTTATGTTTGTGCTCAGTACACCTGAGCCAGGCTTCTGGTTGGCATTATTTTGGGGCCAATCTCGCATTTGAGAAATGATCTTTACTGATACAATTCAGACAATGGCTAAACCACTCCCAAGACCAAGCAGGCAGGGATATCCTGGAATAAGCAGATACTTTTCCCAATGAACAGGGTAAGAGTTGTTTAGAAATATTTTCTCTATCCTGTGCCATGGGAGAGCTAAACTGCATTAAACCCCTGTGCAATCAACCCTATCCAAAATTAAAGGCTTTTTCATTACTTTACCAGAGTTACTTTTATGAATTAAGTGAGAGCAGAGAAGGGCTTTAAAACAATTCAGCACATCTACTTTAAATTCAGTTTGACACATCCACCTTAAATTCTCAGTTAATTAATTTTAAATTTTGCCTGCTATTAAATACAGATTTTTGTGGGAGTTATACAGCTTCAACTTTATGTTTTCACTTGGACATGAAGATTTTAGTTAGTAAGCAAAGAGTTCCATTAAAAGCTGAATTCCACCCAGCTCCAGTAACCTGAGGGTCACCTAATCTCAAAGTTCACCCAGAGTGGGCAGAATTTTATTGCTGACCTCAAATATCAACCCCATTGTTAACTATAATTTTTTTCCTCCCTATTGCCGTGTCTCTTTATGTCCATTGTTTCTTCCTTTCCCCTCATTTGGGCTGCTTTGTTTTCCTGAGGTCAGAGTGGATGTCAATAAACAAATCTGTTGGCTTCCAGACATGAACTGGGAACCAAGAGGGGTCAAGAAACTTTTCCCAGAGAACCCCCATTCCCACAGCAAAATAATAAAACTCCAGACTTTTTTGTCTTGCAGAAATACAAGAAATAAACAAAGATTAATAAAATGAATCCTACGTGGCAGCAAACATTAAATATACATTAAAAAATAAAATAAATGAGCAGTTTTATTCCAAATACTATAAATTATACCTGAAAATACCTAATTGATGGATAATTCAGTAAGAAAGAAATCTTAACCAAACATAGCCAAATTCTGACTAATTTTAAAATATGTCTTTAGTTATAAATTTTTTGATAGTAATATATACAATGTCATAGGAACATTGATTCACAATCAAGTTCCTTGTGCATGTTCTTCTTGTTAATATAAAATTCCCTGAAGCCACACAAGGCAAACACACATAATTTATAAAGAAATATCCTTGTTCCAGCAAAAGCAAGTAAATTTATCTCTTGGTTATCCAGGATCAAAGTGAGTTGCTGAGTTTTGCCAACATTCAGCCAGGGTTTATTTCCCAGCTCTGATTTTCTTTCTGCCTGGCTCTCTCTGATCACTTCTCATTTCCAGCTTTAATTTAACATTATTAAACCAGTATGGCTGGAAATCTTTATTTTTATTCATCTGGATATCCATCTATGTTATTTTTAATGGCTAGTGTTGTCTTCTACAGTGTCAGATAAAGAATTCTGTTAAAAGAATCAAGGTCAGAGAACACCTTTACCTGAATGCAATAAGAACTGTCACAGCAATGATGAGTGAGGTGATGGACACGCTGTATCCTACAGTGTAGATGATCCTTATAGTAGAAAAGTAGGATTGCTATAAAGGAATAGAATTATTTGTCACAAAACTTGCAGCTAAGTCACAGCTTTTTTACAGATTCTGGCTGTTTTGCTTTGTTTGGTGCTTCCAATCATTTCATATCCCCGACTGCCTTTTCTTCCCCCTCTTAATCCCACGGCAAAAACCAATTTAAATTCCTCGTTATGCCTCTTTTGTAAAGTGCCATTCCATAGTTACGTGGATACAGCTCAATCTGACACCAAAACATGTATTGATCGGGGTGGTTTGAGGCTCATTCATAAAACCATAAACACCAAAGCCAACCTTTAATGAAAGCACTGTTAAAAATCAGATGCATTTTTATAAATACTGTATTTTATAGTGTAGTATATTTTGTATGCATTTTTATAAATACTGTATTTTATAGTGTAGTATATTTTATATGCATTTTTATAAATACTGTATTTTATAGTGTAGTACATTTTATATGCATTTTTATAAATACTGTATTTTATATTTTTTAATGCTGCTGACAGCTGGCTACATGATGAATACAGAATTCCAGCAACCTTTCCCTACATTTCTCCACTTTCCCACTCTCTGCTTCCTTATTTCCAATTTTACCATCTATTCTTCCTTTCTCTTTTTGTTGTGTTCTGGTTACTTGGTTTTTTCTGCCTTTTTTTTTCTCCTCTGTTTTTCTTGCTGCCAAACTCAACTGTTACTCAGCCAGAACATCGATCAAAACCCATTTCAATTCAAGTGGCACCTCAGACATGATCTCTGAGTGAGGATAAGTTGACTTCCACTGTCACACATGAAAGCAGAAAATAAAATTAATAAGCTCTATGCTGCAAATCTTTCCCTTCAATCCAACATGGGCCGTCTCTTGGGTCCCATTTTAATGCTTTTATAACTAAAATCTTCACAGCTGTGCAGAGCATTGCCACAGTTCACTGTGGGGAAGGGGATATACTTGTTTTGAGCCCTAAGTGCAACTGCAGGCATTATATATAGGGGTCCATTTAATTTATTTTAGGTGCTTAAAAATTAGCTGCCTAAATATGAGCAGCTGAGTCTGGAGTAAAATGAGGAATGTGAGAGCCTGGCCGCAGGACTGAACTGTTTAAATATTGACACAAACCTGTTTCTTCCCATTCTCTTTCTTTTCTAGTTAATGAAGGGAAAGAAACACCCTCAGAAGACAATTCAACTTATGGGAAGTTGAGAACTTATGGGTTTCTGACAGCAAGAAAAAGGATCTGTCACCAGTCCTGCCTTAGCAAGGGCAGGTCATAGAATCCCTGACTGGTTTGGGCTGGAAATGACCTTAAATAACATGTAATTCCAACCCCTGGTTTAGTGGAGTGAAACATTTGGTGCCGAGGACCCTACATCCATGGGTGAATATTTTTCACCATCCATGGGCTGAACATTTAATACTGGCCAGAACCCACCAGGTGCATCTTGAATTTTTCTTCCAGTTTAGTTTTATCCATGAGAAGATGGGTTTTCCTTTCTGAGAACAGTAAATGCAGTAACTGGGGAGAGCCAAGACATACCCCTGAAAAGCTCCCACCTGATCCTACCAAAGCACTAATAGAGATCCACCTTGTAGTGATTAGACTTGATTTGAACCATAAATTTTTGAGACTGATGAAGTTGTATGATATGGAAACCAGGCATAGCGGCCTCTTTTTTTTTGTCTAGTGGATGAACTGTGAATTGTATATGGTTATCCAAATTCCTGACTATGCACAATTCCAGCCAAAGCTCAGAGAAGTACCTCAGAGCTGGAAAGCTTGCCAGTAAGCCTGGATCCAGCACTCCATGAGGAACATCAAAGCTGTGCTAGACTGACCTTAACTGGCAACAAATCAGATGTGGAAAGCACAGAAAATAATCAAATCTTAACATTGATAAATCTACAACTGAGCAGTTTGCCTTTAGGTAAAATAATAGAATAATCATAGAATGGGCTGGAAGGGACCTTAAAAATCATCTCAATCCAACCCCCCTGTCACAGGGACACCTTCCACTAGCCCAGGTTGCTCCAAGTCCCATCCAACCTGGCCTTGGACACTTCCAGGGATGGGGCAGCCAAAACTTCTCTGGGCAACCTGTTCCAGGGCCTCCCCACCCTCACAGGGAAGAATTTCTTCCTAATATCTAACATAAATCTACCCACACGGGAGATTGTTTTTACCCCAGCAGTGTAAGGAAGCAATAAAAGAAGGGAAGAAAGAGAAGAGTTGCACTTCAGTGTAAGTGTTTATTATGCAAAGCAGCAGGTGTTGAGGCTTAGAGGCTGGAAAGGAAGTTTGAGCTAAACAGTTATAATAGTCGACACAGAAAGTAATGGGAAGACAAGTGAAATCTCCCCATGATGATACAAATAATGTTTTTATCCATATTAATTAGGAATCAAGCAGATAACCTCTAGATATCACCAACTGTCAAAACCTGGCTGAAGAATTATGTCAGATTCTGATCTGCATTACTGACATAAAAAAACACTGAGACTTTTTTTTCCTTGATGAATTAGGTATTTTATGCAGGATGAGAAACCCAAACCCCTCTTGTCCTTAGATATTGCTGAATTTGGAATAGAGGCGTTATAGCAGCACATCACTGGTGCTCTGATATTACAAATTCATCTTGCTGACTGATATTGCTCAAACGTCTTAATCCATATTTTATGAACATTTTATGATACATCTCTAGTTGTTATATCTGTAGGCAAGTTCATGATTGTCTGGAATTTGCAGCTGGCTTTGTTTTTATTACACTCTCACACATGAATAATAAAATATTCCTAGTTATTTTACAAAATAAGTGGCTAGAGTCAAATCTGAATTACATTCCACACTTTCAGCTTCAGCTGAGCTTCCCTTTGCAGTGTTCTTGCAGGAATAGAAGGGAATCCTATAACATCAACACACCACTCACATATTTTTCTGTAATTAAACTTACTTCTTCAAGGGGAATCTCATCTTCTACTGGACAGGCGACGTGGTAGGGAGGGAACGGGTCAGACCAGCCTTTCCTTGTGCAGTTCCTTTTTACTATCCCAGCTGAAACAGAAGCACTTAAGTTTTTCCAGTGGAAAACCACATAATATGGAAAATAAAACCCAGGAGAAAACCTCTGGCTGGTACAAAGGTTATGCCAGGAGGAGAGGATCATGTTCATTGGCATCTCACAGAGCTGGTAGGACACTTTGTGTGTGTACGTTCAGGTCATCAGACACAAAACTTTGTGATTTTTCTATAGGCAAACAATGGAAAAAGAGGTGAGAGACAGGGGTAGGGGTGGGAAGGAGTAAGGAATTAATTAAATCAGGAAAAAAAAGTCCATTGGAGAGGATTGGGAAGCACTGCTCCATCAGACTTCTGCTTTGTACAGCACTCACCCTTCTAATATACCCCTTCTCATTCCCACCTCCCTTGGGGTTTATATTTTCCTTGCAGACCAGAGGCTGGGATAAGCAGTTCCTTCTATGAGGATAGCACATTTCCATAAAAGATTTATGACTCAGATGAAGGATAAATCCGAGAATCCCATGGCAGGAAATGAATCTGCACAGATGAAAGGGACTATCCTTATCCCTCGTTTATAACAAGCATGTGTTGGGTGAGGCAGAGCTTGGGCTTTACAGCTTCTTTTTCTTGTGGAGCTGCCAAATCCAGGTCTTTCCTGGAAGATGGTTTCCTCCTTGTGGGCTCACAGTCTGTTCCTTGCCATATTCACCCACAGAGCAAGCAGACACAAAGGCATTAGTTTGCAGCTTTGCATTTGACCAGACACACGTGCTGCTTCGAGGACTAAATTCTGCTTTGTATCTCCAAACTTGCTCTTAAAGAACAATCATGTTACTCATTCCTCTGCCTTTCATTTCATCCCAAACCAATCAGAGCACAAATCTCCGAAAGCCCAGTGCTTAAGTTCTGACCTAGAGAACCTCATGTGAGCTTTGTCAAAAACACACAACAAGCTGATCCCAAAGCCCATGGAAACTCATGGAATCACTCGATTTATTTCAGTGGGTTTTGGATCAGGGCCCCATCACAGACTATGGATGGTACTTAAAATGTGAGCAGAACTTCTAAGGTCCCTCAGATCCTACTAAAATCTTTGCAGTGTTGATCTGATCCAGTTGGGGAGTAGGAACATGTAACTTTCTGTCTTCACCCCCACTTTTTAGAAATGCTCCTCCAGGCAACAGAAGAACAGGAGTACAACCCTGATAGTACATCACCTGGCTCCTTCATGAAGTGAAGGATGATGTTTGGGCATGGTAAGGCAAGAGTCTCTCCAGCATCTGCCTCTGGCCAGCACAGTAATTTGTCCCAAGTTCTCTTGCAACCTCAGGCAGAAAGTGAAATATATTTTTAAGCATAATTATATTTGAGCAAAATAAAACCCCAAACCTTTTTAAACTTTGCCACTCCACCGCTTACATATCTTGCAAAAAATAGTTTAGCCACAATTTTTATTCTATAATGAGAAATAAACACCCCCAGAGGATTATTTAATCTGCTTTAGTTAGACCCACTGTGTTAGACTGGAGTGGGTTTTTGAAATAATGTAATAAATGAAAAGGCATTATGGAAATGGGAGGGAGAGTAATTCTGGAAGAAAGACAAGATAACAGTACTTTTTGTTGGGTTATCCTATTTTTAAAGACCAAAACACCCTCACAAACATGCAAGAATGATGCCATGACAGCATCCATTTGGATAAAGAATAGGACAAGGACAAAAGGATTCACTCAGATAAATTGACCGTCCATATTCGAATGGGAAAGACTGTGGAAAAAAGAATTTAAAGGAAAGGGAATAGATGGAACAAGAGCTGACAAGACAACAGGTATGTGGGACAATAAGTTAAACCCTCAAACATACCCACTGACAGCCTGGCTGTGTCCTCACTCTGCTGGTGGGTCACTTCTCCCTCCCTCCCCTCATCCCTCACACATGGACACCTGCTGATGTTGCATTTCCACGCTCTTGTGGGTCCTCCAGACATTCAGCCTCATTTTTTTTCAGCTCTGTCATAAAATCACATTCTGGGTGGACATTTCCAGCAACCTGCAGGGAGTAGACGATTAGTAAGAAGGTGCTGGATCATCAGTCATTAAGTCTTACTTTGGCAGCTAACGAGGTTGTTTTAAGGACATAAAATGCTATCTTAGGGTTTAGCATCCAGAGGGTACCACAATCTCTGCACAAATTGCAACACTTTGAGATCACAGAATCACAGAACAATTAAGGTTGGAAAATGCCTCCAAGATCAAGTCCAACCAGCCCTGTCAGATTCACCACTAAACCAAGTCCCTAAACACCACATCTACATGTGTATGACCCCAGCTGAGCTCTGCTAAAGGCAGTAGAGCTGTAATACTTTACATCAGAGCAAACCTTCAGGCAGTAGAGATGTCAGAAGATGGTAGCCACAGGTCTGGAAAGTGTATAAGATTCCTCTATGTTCATAATCAAAGAACTCTTTGCTAGGGCCTGGCTTTGAGTGCAGGACTCATTTCTACCCTAAACTTAGCTAGACCCTGCTAAATCTGACCCCAGAAAGACAGACTGCACTGCACTTGGTCAGACTCCTTTTCGTAACAGTGGAGGGCTCAGCACTGCAGGACATGCTACAGAACCCACCTGTGCATGGAAAAGCCCCTACCAACCTCCAAAGAAACACCACCTTGGAATCACACACAATTCCTGCAAAATTGTCTTCTGAAAGAGTTTTTCACTCTAAAAGGAATTAATCCGTTCTCTCCCTTCTGCCATCTGCCTTTCTTTACAGAGGGTGGGAGGCAAAACTCCTTTCTTTGGAAAAAAAAAACAAACTCTGCACCAAAGCATTTGTTGGTTTGGCATGAAGGTGTTTTGATAGCAGGAACTGTTTAGTTGCTTTAGTCCTTGTTTAGACTTGAGCTTGTGTGGGGACCAGAAGAGAATGTGAAGGCCTCCAGAGAACCTTGGCCACCAAAGGACAAATTCTGCAGCAGCCTGTTACACACCACAACTGCTGTGGTTGTACCCGCCGGGCAGAAATACACATTTAATTTTATGTATCACAAAGAAAGGAATATTTACCTTATCCAACCATTGTCCCCAGTCCCAGAAGACCAGTTGCCATAAGAGACACTCTGACTTAGCTCTGCTCCCAGGCCACTGGTGCTGGTGTGCTCTACATGAGTGAACACAGATATAAAAACACGCAGACACATCAAGGAAATAAACTCAGGATGAGACGTGCATGGTGAGCAGGTGGCTGGCATATGGCTCAGTTTTCTTCCACCCAGGGAGGATTAATATTCAGGGAATTTTGAAAATAAATATCTGTCTTTCAGTTAATTCAAAGGGCAGATTGTACCCGTTCCAATAAGCTGGTGTTTCTCCTCCATGGTGGTGGCCACGTCTCCTGTTGGTCTACAGAGCATTTGAACTGCTTATTGTCTAACAGCTTGAGGCTCTGAGGCTGCTGGAGAACACTGGATTAATTGCACAATATTTGTTTTTTCTGGGGTTTGGACCCTGGTACTTGAAAATTCCATTTATGCCCTTCAAGATCATCTGCTTCCCATTTACTGCTCTTTTAGGAGGATGTGGTTTTCTTGCCAGATTTACAGACAGTAGTGCCACGGATCAGTTTAAGGCAACAATTTAAAAGTTCTTGAGGTTGAATGAAGTGTGATGCCCCAATGATGTCAGAGAGATCAGTCAAAAACAAGAAGCCTGGGGAGCCCCTCAAATCAACTAAGATATGTAATGGTAGGTAGAATGAGAGAAAATTGGCATCTGTCGGGAAAATCTTTGTTCACTTGATATCTCTCTTCATGCCAACATATATTCTATCCCCCCTTGTACTCACCCTGGACAATGAAGGTCATCTATGCTGGAAAGCTCCCTAACCACGCTGTGTGACAGCTATTGCACAAAGTAGCTCTATTAGTCAGTAGAAAAACCAGTCAAACCATTTACTGACAATCAATTCTACCACATTCTCTTGGTTCGATGAACTGTGCCCAGAAAAACCTCACCAGGCAGGAAATGTACCCGTTTGCACTGTCCTAAATTATTTCTCCTGGCAAAAAAAAAAAAAAAAAAAAAAACATTACTAGATCTCGCCTGTCAAAACTCTCTTTGCTCCCTGAAATGTTCATGGCAAGAGCAAAGTTTGTTTGGCTTATTCACCAGTCCAGGAAACCTTTTTTTTTTTTCCGTTTTTGATTTCTAAGTCTCCAGACTTGTGAGAACATATTACCATGTGTGTCTCAAATAAAAAGATGAGGCTGATCAAGCACCAGGGATTCAAATTATTGCCACTTCCTTCAAGAAGAACCAACCTTAAGAGATGCTGTGGCAGTTTATATGCAAGTCATCACTAAGCACTGCTTGAACAGACACTGAATGTAAGGTCTTCTCTGACACCAACTCTGGTAAAATAAATTGAAAATATTCATTTGGCTTCTAAAGCCTTTAAAACCTCTCCAAAAGTTGAGTTCAGCTCTACCAGAAAAAGTATATGATCACTTACACCAATAAAACCAGATGGCTGTTTTTCCACCATTATATACTGAAATAAGAGTTGTTTACCCATCCTCTATCATAATAACATATGCAACACATGCTAGGAGATTTTTATTATACACTAACACATAAAATTGTTTCTGATCAGTGCATATTCATAAAATAACCGATATAACTTTATAGAAGGAAGTGTTATTTCTCTTGGGTAAATGGGACAGGCTCTTACAGAGACCTTCAGTCATATTTTAACTATTAGCGTGATATTCTACTTACAATCAATTATATTTATCTACTCCCATTACAGGGAAGTGGAGTTTGTCACAGAGATGATACAGAGGAAGCTGTAGCTTCACATCAATAAAAAGTCTTTTCAGTCATTTCAAGGTGCTTTATTTTTTTCAATCCACAAAAAGACTTCTGTGCCCCCCCCTTCATGAAATGTTCCTTCGGAAATGACATTCCCAGGAAAGAAAAAAAAACGATATAGAGGAAGGATCACAAAAGGAAGATGCTGAAAACGTAATTACTCTCAAAACCAAAGAAAATATCCTTCCCCTACTTTGCACAGACATTTTCTGATATCTGTGTGATCCTGAATGCTGGTTTACTAATCTTTGTCCAAATCAAAATATCAGCAAGACCTCTGAGCTTTTAAATCATTTAAATATTTCTAATTCTTCCATAAACATCCCTGCTGCTTCCATTTTTTACCTGAAGCATCTCAGCTGCTCACTTATTAAATCATATTAATACTACCACCAAAGCAGCTGAAATTGTAACTAATAAGACAGTATAATCTGAAGCTTAAAAAAACTATCAAAACTCAGCTACTCTAATGTAACAACCCTCCTCCAGTTTCTTCTTGTCACTGTCTTAAAGCCTACACACACATACACAAAAAAAAAAAAAAAAAAGGAATTCTGTCAATTATGTTGTTTCTCTACAGTGAGTGTGGGATAAGAAAGCAGTGAAATGAATTGATATAAAGATCCTGCAATGTGTGTCCCTTCTGCTGCTGCTCACACTTTTCATAGCATCTTGCCTCGTTTAAGCGGAATCCAAAGCAAATAAAGAGAAAAGAGAATGAAGCCGTATCTGCCCATCTGCTCCAAGGAGGAAATAAGCAATTATTGAAACACAATGAAGTCAAAGTTTTGTTTGGTTGGTTTTTTTCCATGCAATTACTTACAAGCACTGCCAGACTCAGGGTGTGCAGAGCACAGTGGTATAAAGCACAAGAGTTCATGTTCCAAAGCAAGAGTCAGACTTCACTCCCTTAGCCTTTCTCAGCATCTCTCACCTGCTTTTCGACCTCTCTTTCTCCTCCCAGTTGCACATTTGAAACATTTATCTTTTTGCACAGAAGTGACGTAACAGGACAGCGGAGTGGGAAATAAATATTAACAATTCTCCAAGCTGTGTTTGAGCTTTCCAACTTTTTGACTTTGCTGCATTCTCAGTGACTGGACTGGACGAATTGAGTGATTGATACCAAGGTTATGGGAATCCTACTTCCTGGCAAGACCCCTGATTCTTTTTTTAAACCCAAAATCATTTTAGGAGCTGTAAATGTTGCTAACCCTGTATTGAAAAACATTACTGGTACAAGAGAAACACTATCCTAACAGCTAATGTTGATGTCAATTCATTCTAATTCACATTTTTCAGTGCAGCTCCAGTGTATCTGTGTGTGGGTGTAGTGACCATGGTGCTGCACTTTAAAATACAGGATCAAAAGCTACTCACAGGCATGTGAACAAAAATTCTGCTGGGTGCCTGCTGGACATTGATTTGAAGGCAAAATTCACAAGGGATCCTTCCCACTTTGCTTGAGACTTCTGAAAGTTCAGTGTCTAAATCTCAACCCATCAACTCCTTTAGTCAAAGTATTGAAATATGTGCACTCAGCTCATTCATCTCATCCTAAGCATTAAATGAAAATCTATTTAAATCTATTTTACAACATTCTCTTGTCTAATCTAATGTTTAGAAGCCATAAATTTGGCTGTACTCCAGCCCTGCTGGGTGTGTATTAAAGTCTGTCCATCAATCCATACTCTCTTGAAGGACTTTAAATTCCATATCAACATTAAGCAAATGTTAACATTGCAAGATCAGAGACTCAAGATGTGAAATATCTTTAAAATATTGTTCTCTGCTCTTCTATTCTCATATCCTGCCATTCCTCAAAATCAATTCTTAACCCCAGTTCCCATCTTCCCAATGGTCCATCCTACAACCCCACTTTCACTGTTCTTTGTCCATCTTCCCAACTTATCTTTCTGCACTTGTTTCAAATGACTTCTTACTGCTTATCTACATGAATTGGGAGTGGAAATTCTGAGACCATGGAAAGAACCCTCTCATCTCCCAGAGTCACCACAGCTACGAGGAACTAAAGCTGTACCTATGCAGGGCTCGACTACATTTGGAAATATCTGTGGGGATGAAGCTTTCAGGCCTTGTTTGTAGGTTGGATCTGTGAGGGAACTGAGAACACAAGAAGGTGTTTTTAGAGAGCTGAAGTTGGCAAGCTTTCCATTCAGTGTGTGCAAAAGGCTTTATTTCATTATTCCTCAAATACTTGTACCTTGCCTAAATTAGACAAGCTTTCACAAAACTGTCTAAAACAAAAATTAGAGTTGTGCTCCTGTCAATTTTAATAATTTTTTTTTGCAGAGGATGAAGCTCTAGACCTTGTAAATGAACACTTACAAATGTATTTATCATAGGCAAATTCTGTTTCTCCCAACCCTATTTCAGAAGCTACATAATCTTAAGAACTGAAAGATTTCCCTGCAGAGGTGTAACACGGAAAAATTTCAGCCCATAATGCTAAATCTACTTTTTCAGTTGGTAAAATGATGAAAAAAGCCAGTGAGGGAACTTAAACCTACAGAGTCTTAATTCACCATGACATAGGTCTTCAAATCTGGCGACAGTGTTCAGTACATCCCAGTGTTTTGCTGATTCCCTTCTATTCCCATTTGAGGAGGTGAACAACCCAAATAGAAATGGCTTTGGTGAGCCTGGAGAAGAGGAGCTTCAGGGTGAACTTACTGTAGCCTTCCAGAACCTGAAGGGAGACCACAAGAAAGATGGAGAAGGACTTTTTACAAGATCATTTAGAGACAGGAGAAGAGGAAGTGACTTCAAACTGGAATAGAGTAGGTTTAGATTAGATATTAGGGAAAAATTCTTTACTGAGAGGGTGGGGAGGCCCTGGCACAGGTTGCCCAGAGAAGCTGTGGCTGCCCCATTCCTGGAAGTGTCCAAGGCCAGGTTGGATGAGGCTTGGAGCAACCTGGGCTAGTGGAAGGTGTCTCTGCTCATGGCAGGGAGTTGGAACTGAATAGTCTTTAAGGTCCCTTTCAACACAGGTTACTCCATTATATGATTCTATGATATGTTCCTAAGTTTTAAGCTACTCAAAGTTCTTTCAATAGTAAGACAACAGGGACTTTCAGCTGTCTCACAAATATTTAATACAGTTATAATCCTAGAAAATCTTATAAAACTACAGTGATCCATGCTGTCCTCACAAGATCGTGCCAGTTACAGCATTTGGACACATTCCCTCTGCTTTCCTTCCCAAAGAGATTGCAGTTTTAAGAAAAATATGTGGCTGAGCATCCACGATGTTTCCTGTAATGTATCAGTTCTATTAAGGCTAAAAGCCTTTCGGCTGTCCCACAAATGCTCTACTGATCATGCACCCTACAGCCATTTCAGGCACTGTTTGAAAATGAATCATAAACAGACTCGCTTCAGAGGAGCAACATCTCACATTTCACGGGGATGCACTTTGTTGGTCCCTGTATTAGAAAAATAAGTTGCCTGTGAGTAAGCTTTTGGTGTCCACATCAGAATTTTCCATTTCAGCCACCACATCTGAGCCATTCTGTGTGTTTATTCTGTGCTGTTGAAGTCATGCCTATAAAAACCACACAAGGCATTATTTGCCACTTTTCAACCTACCAGAGAACAGAGAGAGCCCAATGTAAGATATTTCACGAGGTTTTCTTTTTTAAGGGAGAGTGGGCATTGGTGTAGAGGGGTCTTGTGCTGAAATCCACCACGTAGGAACTCTGATGACCATGGATCATTTTGGAAAACCTGGCTTTTCTGTATTTTCAGCCTTATTCTGCCAATCTGCAGCACAGACATTCCATTAAAATGAGATCCTTCCTACTGTCGCTGTTTTGTGCAAATTTCCAGCTGTTTGTGGTTAAGGAGAAAGACATGTCTTAAAAAAAAAATAAATGGACTTATGAGTCTTTTCTTTATTATTATTTCACGAAAATGACTATTTTTTTTGTTTAAAGAAAAAAGTTTCCTCCATAACTAACAGAACTTTGAGCTGCTTACTTTCACCATAAAAGCACATCTGAAGGACCAGTTTTCCACAGGCACAAAGTTCTCACTTCCTACCAGTTCTATCCAAATTTTTCAGCCTTGAATACCACCACCTCTGCAAGTCTGCTCCCACACTTCTCCTGGGCAGAAGCAGGCACTTAGTAGATCCGTAATTACTACATTTTCTCTCCACTCATCACCTCCATTACCAACACACTCCCTATTCCATGCAGCTCCTCTGCCAAGTTTTCTAGTGGTGGCATCTTGCCTTTTGGATGGCAGAGCTGCAGAGGAGAGATGGAATATGCAGCAAAGGAGCCATTTTTCTCCCCGCACGCTCTCCCAAAGGTGAGAGCCTGACATTTTCACAACTCTCTCAAGGTTTCCCTTGCAGCTTTTTGCAGAATGGTTTCAGTTTGTTTTACCAGCTCGTGTAGTTTGTAAGATCCTGGCTGATTCCACAACAGCCCTGCCAGCCCTGTTTCTAAACTCTTCTCCCTACACATAGAACAGCATCTCAAAATTTATATCAAACTCTTAGGTTTCTGATGCCACTTTTTCTCCCTCTGCAAGATCCCCTCCATTATCATAAAATCCTAGAATGGTTTGGGTTGGAAGGGACCTTAGAGATCATTGCATTCCAACCCCCGCCATGGGCAGGGACACCTTCCACTAGCCCAGGTTGCTCAGAGCTCCATCCAACCTGGCCTTGGACACTTCCAGGAATGGGACAGCCACAACTTGTCTGGGCAAATTATTGTAGCTACAAAGACATTTACACACAGATAAATCTACATCTGAAATGTTCAAGGCCAGGCTGGATGGGGCTCTGAGCAACCTGGGATAGTGGGAGGTGTCCCTGCCCATGGCAGGGAGTTTGAACTGAATGATCTTTAAGGTCCCTTCCAACCTAAACCATTCCATGATTCAACCATTCTATGATTTTAATTTTCTTATGAAGGAAAGCTGGAGGAAACCTTAATACCATAAATCAGTATTTCGTAATTTACTTGAAAAAACCTAATTAATTAAAAAACCTAACTAATTTCATTGATATATAAAACCCATGGATCTCCCAAAGCTAAAAAGAAACAATTTGAGTTAAATAGTTTTAGCTTCTGAGATGACATTGCTCCAGCTTCATATTTCCCAAGGATCATGCCCAGGAAAAGATATTATAATTCAACATTGAGAGAAGAGTTACAAGTGACATTTTCCTTGAACTCTTTAATCCAATCAGCAATGCCTAAAGTGAAAATGGAGCCAGGAGTACTTTTGTGGCCTCCCAAGGTCAGAGCCGTGGGCACAGAGTGTCATGGTGAAGTTCGTGATACTGAAGGCAAATTTATGAAGAAATAAAAGGAAATTTCAGTGTCTACCATTGTCTCACAGAGTCTCTTATTGCCATGACAATTCTTTAAAACTATTAAAATTTAGAGGAAAGAGGTGGGAGGGAAAGGGAGGAGGAAGGCTGGGTCTAAGTCATTTAACCACAGCTCCAAGAATAGGTGATTTTGTTGTGCAGACGTGACAAACGAATGTTTAGTTTCCGAGGAAAAAAGGGAATGTTCGAAGCAGGGAAACTTCAGACAACCCAGAACTTGAAGGAGTTTTATAAATGGGGCCTTGAATTCTTGTTTTAACACTGAAGACGAAAAATATGCAAAGTTATAGTTATGCAGTTGATTTAATTTTTCTTTGCAGTGTCAGAGGACGATCATTTTTCTCACACCATGAATTAAACGAGCGGAGGGATTTCAACTAATGCTGTTTAAATGTAGTTCAAAATGGAGAACATTAACTCTTGATCACATTAAATGAAGCTAAATCTCGTTAAGCACTTGTGCACTGAGGGTTTGCAGCAGTGTGCTCGGTTGACTTTGTTTCCAC